TCAAGCAAGCACTCTCAAGCAAGCACTCTCAAGCAAGCACTCTCAAGCAAGCACTCTCAAGCAAGCACTCTCAAGCAAGCACTCTCAAGCAAGCAGCACTCTATCAAACCCCAAGGCATTCGCTCAAAGACAAGTACAGCACAGAAGTACAGTACAGAGGTACAGAGGTAAACCTCTTGATCCCGAACGGGATCGGTTTCCTCCTCCTTCTCGATACATTCATAGAAGTGCAAACAAACAGACGGACAGACGGACATGACTTTTAGAATCCCGAAATTCATCAGTAGAGGGGCCAAGTTCGTTAGTAGCCCATTTCTGTTCCTGTTGTCGTTTCGATCGCGAGTTCCCCGTTCCCACGCCGTTCCGATATCCAGTTGAATTCCATTTCCGGTTCGATCCCATGTTCAATTCGATTCCGTGTTCAATTTGACTCCATTTCCATTCCATTTCCAGTTCAATTCCATCCCAATGTCGCGTTCAATTCCATTCCGGTTGAATTCTATTCCAGTCCAATTCCAATCCCATCGCAAATCTGATCTCATCCAGGTCCAATCCCTTTCCCTTCCCTTTCCATTCCAAATCAAATCCAATCCAATGCCGATCGTGAGACCTGGAGTCAATCAAACTTCCATAATCCATATCCGTTTCTCAAATCCCGGCGATAAGCCCAGCATGGCGTCCTCGACATTTTGTTCCGGCTCTGGTTAGTCCCAGTCGTCCAATTGACCCAACCGTCCTATCATCTCTATTGTTGCGGATGCATTCCTCAATGTGTATGCCCCAGGAGATCTCGCTGGCACGACACCACTTCTCCCTTCATTCCTATAGAGCTGCATCCCTATAAAATCCATCTATCTTTGCTCCCCGAGGAGAACAGTTGACCCAGTACCGCACGGCGTCACTCTGGGGGTGGTGTCCAAGGACGGAGCCGGATCGGTTTCGGTAGCAAGGTGCGCATAGATGTTGTTGGGATCCGTAAGTCTGCCCAGGTGGGAGGCATCAACGGGTGGATCGTTCTTGGGCTTATGCTTCCTTCGCCAGCACCTCGCATCGGGAGTTGAGGAGAGGGCGTAGAGTCTGGCGGCCTGGATTGGTATTGCCGTTGAGCCTCCGGTCGAACGAGAGCCTCTTTCTCGATACCATTTCTACTGCCAGGGCGTGACTGGGGAGTTAGATCCGCGCTGGCTTTGGGCGCATGTGCGGATGCGTGGACGGGCTCCGGACGTTGCCACATAGGCGTAACGTGCTGGGGAACAGACACCGGGTGCTCGTGCGGCTGGTCTGGCTTGCCCGCGGGACTGCTCAACGGGGAAGGGGCAGGCGTGGCATATGATGGGATGATTTCAATTGTCGCCGTCACCTTTTGTGTGTGGTTTTGGAGATAGGGCCGCTTCGCGTTGGACAGGGTCGGAGTAGCCGGCTCGAGATCGGTATGTCCTCGTTTCCTTGACGGATTTGATGTCTGGGTCCGAGAGAAGGCAGAGTCTTCGCAGATCAGGTTGATACCCGCGTCTCGAATGGCTGGTGACTCGTAACGAGAGCCCTGCCCCGCGACCAGGAGACCATCCATCACATTCTCAGGGTCCCTGTTCGGGGGCCTGTTCTCTTCCACGGCGGAGTTGTTCGTCGCTGGCAGATGCCGTTTGGTTCCGGCAGTGGAAGGAGTGCTAAGGGTCTGTATGGATTTCGGATCCGCCTGAGACTGCTTGCGCAGCTCTTCAAGTTTCTTGCGCAGGGTGGACGCCTCCTTCTGTGCCTTTTTGGCTTGTTCAAGTTCAGTGCGCAGATGTGATGCGGCGTTCTGTGCTTCTCTGGCTTCGCTTTGTGCAGTGGCCATCTTGAACGCGTGATCAGCATCTTGGCGGCGAATCTGGCCTTCGTATCGCTTGCACCGCTCTTGAAGTGTTTTCTCCAGACGAGACGCCTTGCGTAGTGCTGCTTCTGTCTCTTTCTGCGCAGCTGTCAGCGTCGAATGATGGTCTGCATCTTTTGTGCAGATCTCCCTCTCGTGCTGCACCATCACGTCTTCAAGCTTCTGCCCCAGTTGATCCAGATCAAGTTTGAGAGTACTGATTTCTTTCGCGTGCCTTGCAGACATTGATTCCCGGGCGGCCTCGTACTCGGTCTTATCTTTGTGGCGTAAGAGGCTCTCGTTCGCGAGACTTGATTCTAATTCCTGAATCTGAAGCGTCAGGTCTGTTTCGTGACTGGCGTCCCTTTCGGACCCTGCAGCCTGGTCTCGCAAGGCCGTGAGCTCGAGGTTTGCTTTGTGGTGCGAGACTCTTTCACGTCCATATTGTGCATGTGCCTCTGCAAGCATCGCTCGGACGTGTGTGCATTCCTTGTCCTTCTCCAGCTTCTCCCGCTGTGCGGTGTTCGCCCTGTCTGTCTGAAGTCGCAATTGGAGCTTCAAAGCGCGATTTTCTGCTTCCAAGTTCGCCACTGTGCCTTGCTCTGCCTCCAAACTTGCCACAACCTTGCCATGCGCTGCTTCCCGGTTTGCCACAACTTTGGAATGCTCTGCTTCCAAGTTCGCCACAACTTTGCCATGCGCCGCTTCCAAGTCCTTCGCAGCTTTGCCATGCTCTGCCTCCAAGCCCGCGACAGCTTTGCCATGCGCTGCTTCCCGGTTCGCCACAACTGTGCCATGCGCTGCTTCCAGACTCGCCACAGCATGTTCATGTACTGCTTCCAAGTCCTTCATAGCTTTACCATGCGCTCCCTCCAAGTCCTTCATAGCTTTGTCATGCGCTGCCTCCAAGTTCGCCACAACTTTTCCGTGCTCTGCTCGCAGGATTTTCTTGTCCTCGATCCTGGCTTGCACTTCTGCTCCTAATGACAAGTTTTTCGCCCTGAGTTCCATGTTAGCGCAGGCCAGGTCCTCATTTTCTTGCTGGACGCTCCGTATCCTTTGCGCCTGCGCCTGAAGTTCCTTCCGTGTGGCATCAAGGTCTGTCAGCAGCCTCCTGACAGACTCGGCAAGGTTGTCCCGCTCCTTCACTACGGAGTGCCTGGCTTCTTTCTCAGACTGGAGCTCGTCCCCGAGTCGGGCCTCCGTGTGCTTGGCCTCTTGCACCAATTTCTCTTTGTGCCGTAGCTGCTCCTGAACCTCACTGAATTGAGTCTCACGACTCGCCATCCTGGCTCTCTCGCGCTGCATCTCCTCGTTGACTGACATTTCCATGGCGCGTCGGCATTCCTCTTCAAGCTTCAGCCCGTCCCTGAGGATTTCCACCGCTTCTTCTAGCCGGTTGACCTCCAGCGCCAAGTTCTGGGAGTCCTCCCACAGCTTGCAGTTCAAGTGTGCATATTGCTCGGCGCGGTCGTGGAGCTGATCATAACGCTTTTTCACAAGAATCGCAACTGCTTCAGGGGGCATCGATTCTAGATGTGTTTTTGAGTCCCGAGGATCTTCCGCCCAGTCGAGCTTCGATTTGAGCCCCTGGACGACGGTGTGAATTTGCATTGCCACCAGCTCCAACTCCTGTGCGCGACGCGATAGGTCTCCCTCGTGGGTGGCGAGCTCATCAATGGAGATGGACGGTACGGCTCTGATATGCCGTAGGGCTGACAAGACCGTGTGCAAGGGTGGTAAAACCTGCTGGAACACAACCTCGCGCACTCCACCCACATCTATAGCCCAGTGCAATTGATCCGACACATCCTGGAGGAATGTCCGCACCACAGGAAGCGCAGCCTCCGGCGCACCAACCCAGCGGAAACTAAACGGGCTTATTGGCGCCGTGGCTTCCTTGGAGGCCGGCTCCGATTCCATGATCAAAGGATGAATTTGTCTCCAGACGCGGGATGGCTGATACTAAGCAGCGAAAGCGAAGAGGTGGTAAGCATTTTAGGTGTATCTGATTTGATATCCGTCATGGCCAAATGGACGTTTTGACATCGAGTGAACGAAGAGCCGGGTCTAAAGGCTAGATGATTCGGCCTGATGGTCGTGAGCGGCGGAGAGGCAGACGCCCTGGTGTTTGATCCGACTGTGTTCGCAACGACTGAGGTAGCATCAGTCGGGTGTATGCCTCTCTTCATCCGCCTTTCGGCAATGTCATGGCTTCCCGAGTGCGCGTTTCAGGAAGAGACAAGAAATCACTGTCTTGTCAAAGAGGGATTTTCTGCTCCGAGCCAGGCTCAAGCCCGCTGCGGCTGCCACTGTCTTCTCAACACCTGGAAGCGAGAATGCGAAGACCGCACGGCTGGGACAAACAGCGGTCTACAGCCTAAAGAATGGTTGGATTGAAGGGTTGGTGAGGGCGCCACCAAAACGCGGGGTTTGAGTCTTGTATGTCATGAAGATGCCATGCGCAGCGACGTGGCTGCCCGAGCCAATGACAGGCAGCGAAGCCAACGGATCTGGGCTCTCCTGCTGCAATCGGTCCAATCGTGGTGGGATTTATATTCCCCTCGGATCTTCTCGATCGGAATCGATTCGCAGGCAAAAGAAGCCCATACGACTTGCGCGATGTGTTGTTGCGGCTAGTGTTGTTTCGACTGTCAAGATTGAAAAGCACATGTTGGTGGGCATTGGGTTCGTCCTTCTGGTGGGGTAGAGTGGGTTGATGTGGGGACGAGTCTCGCGGGTCGCTCCCTACCGGAAAGTCGTTATTGGACAATGGGTACATGAGAGCAAGTGTGATTGGTGCGATACTTATCTAAGGTAGCTCCAGATGGGGCTTAAGAGAAGCGAGAGGTAATTACGAAGCACACAGTAATTGCTGCACTGCCATTGGGCCATCCGAGATCACGGGCTTTTCGCTAGACCTTCTCTTGTTAGAACAGTACTGGGTATACGGGATACGAGTACTCAGTACCCCCAGTAGAGCCTCAGAGCCTACACAGAACGTGCAGCAGCCTCGTTGAGTGCTGTAGTAACTGTGGTTGTGGTGGTGGTGAGTACTTTTTCCCCCGAGCAAGTCTGCTCCGTCTGGCTGACCCTATCTGTCTTGAGTTCCAGGCTGCCACTGGTACTGCATAGCGGTCACAATGGCCGACCTGCCTCCCCTCTCGACGACCGACACGCGCGCTTCCCTCGCCTCCATGCACGAAATCGACCCCTCGCCCGTCGACGAGGAAGACCCGTCTACCTCGTCGTCAGATCCCACCAACGCCACGGGCCCGTCCTCCACGACGGACCCGTCGTCAGCCCCCTACCACGGCACAACAAACATCCTGGGCCTGACGCCCACGCGAACCCTCCACCTCCTCACCTCGGTGCAGAAATATTCCGTTGCCCCCTTGGGAATCTACCTCGCGATGCACTACACCAACACGGCGCTGCTCCCGCTCGTCACCCCCTCCGTGCGCGCGGCGGACAAGTACCTCCTCCTCACACGGCCGTTCTACCAAACCCCGCCTCTCGAACCCCTGCTGATCTTCCTCCCCGTGCTCACGCACGTCGTCTCGGGCGTGGCCCTGCGCGTCTACCGCCGCCGGATCACCGCCCGCCGCCACGGCGCCGAGACGCGCAAGCAACGCCGCGAAATCGCCTGGCCGAAACTCAGCCTCACCTCCCTGGCCGGGTATTCGCTGTACCCGATGTTCGTGCTGCACGTGCTGAGCATGCGTGTGACGCCGCGGCGCGTGGACGGCAGTTCCGCGTCCGTGGGCCTGCGGTACTTTGCGCACGGCATCTCGGCGCATCCGGGCCTCGGCCTCGCGGCGCATGCGGTGTTGATCTGTACGGCGAGTTACCATTTCGTGAGCGGGGCGGCGAGGTTCATGAGGCTGAGCAGTGAGTATGTCGTCGGGGGTGGAGAGGATGGGCGGGTCAAGAGGAAATGGCGGGGGAGGATCATCAATGGCGTTGCGGCGCTGATGGCCGGCATTTGGATCGCAGGAGGACTGGGCGTCGTGGGTACGAGTGGACCGGGCGTTGGCTGGGAGGCCAGTCACTGGAACGCCATATATAAAGAGGTGCCGCTTGTGGGGAGGTTGTTCTAAGACTCGGATTTCTCGGACAACGCAACATGCTGAGTGATGTGAGAGAGTTGTGCGTGGGAAGAGGCAATGGACCGAGTTTCGAGCGTTATGTAAAGATTTCATCCACGGGAGCATTGCATTAACTAGGTGGAAATGGTGGTGGACGAGACCAACTTGTCTCCTCTCCTCAGGGATATGAAATAACTGGCCGAAAAGTCAATAGATCTGGGGCTTTTTGCACTGCCCCTTCGATCGAATGACTGCACAATCTTTCCCGTTGCCACATTGAGGGATAACGACCATTGTACCCGGGAGTTTCCAGTCTTAGGGAACCATTACTCAACCCATTTCCTCTTGCACAACATCTCCGCATCACGGAACAGTGATTGATCGTCTTCTCAATACAAATTATGAAACGCCACGTTCGCGAATACAGTGGTTCTAGTGGGCGTCGAGCATGTGATTCCGGTGCTGTTTGATCGCGCCAAACTACTCGGACAACATGGGCTGCCAGATGCCCCAGGTTGTCTTGAATGGTGACTGAATAGCCCTGACAACGTCATCAACAAGTTAGTATCCTGTGCTGGCTAGACACGATACTCGATAGAACTCTACTTACGCGTCCAAACGTTGAATCGGCAGGCCGAAAGCCAAAGGGCTCGATCCGTCCCCCTTCCCATCAGCCGACGTCTCGTGAACTGGATTGATAATGTGAAAATGGACGTATTGTAGGCATTTCAGACGATACTCCCTCAACACCAGCCGGTCAATGATGGCCTGTGCTTTGTCCCGAGACGTCACTGCTAGTTCAAGTTTCCAGATCGTGTTGGGTATGCAGTCGACGAAGGCGGTCTCGATATCAGGCCACATTAGGCGAACCTCTTTCATGTTTGTGGTCCCTAGAAGGAATGCCGACAGGTATTCAACGAACGCCGAAGTGGGATTTGTGGTCGAGGAGATCGTAAGCGAACGGAGGCTCTCCCCGTGGACTTCATAAAGTGCTTTCATAGTCTTCCGGTTCAGAAAGACGTCCCCACTTATCCCTGAGTCCATAAGTTGGACGAGAGTCAGACGTTTCAGCGGTCTCAGACGTTCGAATGTCTGATGATTGACGGACTGGATAATCTTGGTCTGGCTACCATGTCGTTGCAGCATTTGCAGGCCCGGAGGCGGACCCACGACCATCAGCTCCTCAAGGTTCGTCACCTTGCTGAGCACATCTGCTGTCCTTATCGGACTGGTCTCAGAAAATCCAGTCACCTGAAGCGACTTGAGCTCCGTGAAAGACCCGAGGCAGCCAATATGGCACTGCTCGACGTCAAGTCTCAACGAAAGGAGTCTAGGATAATGCTCGGCTGTCCAGTTGAGCAAATGTGTCATGACGATGCTTGAAGGTATACTCGTTTGAAGACCGGCAGGCCTTAGCAGCCGCAGGTGTGAGATGCAAGGCAGTTCTGAGAGGGCAAAAGTGATCTGTTTGATTTCCAAGAGATATGGATGCCGATGGATTAGCACTGGGTCGCCACTGGATATCTCGTCAAGGTACCCTTGCATGATCTCAGGTCGAATCTCTTCCAGGCGCAGCCGAAGATTGTTTATGCTTCGCAGGACGCTGTCCGGCCACCGCTCCACAAACTTGATGAGATCGTATTGAGAGTCGCAGTGGAGCGGCCTCTGGTAGAAAGATTCTCTTGCTTCGCCGTACACCTGCTTGTGCACGCACAGAAGGTTCAGATGGTCACGGTAGGGAAGCCGGAGCATCAAATCGTAGAGATTGCGGCGGACCTCGAGGGGCAGATCAAAAAACCGACTTCCGGTAGAGGCTCCGTCCGTACCGCTTCGTGGGTCGGCCATCTGTTTAGCGTAAGTCTGAGTTGACGAAGCTAAAGTAATTCACTTACTGCTTCCCACGAGGGCAGACGCGCTGAGGGCATCGCTTCCGACGGCAGACGAGCCCGCCTGTTCTTGGAAGACATGCGATGATCTGCGTGGCTGGCTGGGTAGAGTGTCAGAATATTGCGGGGCGGTGGTGTCGTGCCGACGATGATGCCTAGGTATGGCGCCCAGGTAGATGGCCCTAGGCACGGGTTTGAGTAGATACGTCAGGGTTCGGCCGATGAGGTATCGAAAAGAGCTTACGCATAGTGAGATGATAAGGCCTTGTTTTCAGCATCTGCAACATATCGTGCTTCCATGTACGCCACAAGCAGAAGAAAGAGATGCGGGTGATCTCAGTGCCGGGAAACGTCCTCATATGATAGCGTAGCTCTGTTTACAGACCAAATCCTCATCAGGATCTCGGTCCGGTGGCCTCTGCGATATTGTCGAAGTCGATATTACGCGAAAGATGGTGTGCTGGGGTGGTTCAAGGAGCATCAAAAGTCCCTTTCGCACATGACATACCCTAGCGGTGAGATAACATTCTCCAGGCTGAAGGCGGAAAATCTGGAATTGAGATGCAAGAAAGGACCCAGAGCTGAGGCAGTTGACGGGCTGCAGTAAAAGTGGCTGCCACATGGCTTTCAAGGATGGGATATGAAATTACAGGAGCGAACCGAAATGCAAGGGGAAGCTGGATGGCACACAACCAGATAGGTGGACAACGCGAGTCTCATCTTAACATCCAGCTGTTACTTGAGGTGACCGAAGCACTCGGTAACTGGGGTCTTCAAGCAATCGGTCCGACAAGCTAACAAAGCATGGATATGGAGCAATGAAGTGGGTGCTCCTGGACTCGTACCTATTGATTGGGCGACGTGGACCTGTCGAACCGAAATCTTGGGTCCTCATATCTCGGAGATCATCATGGATATGAAGCTTCTACCGCCACGCATCCCTTGCCGAATATGACAATCCACTTCGCGCGGCTGCGAGGGACAAGGCCCAGGATCGGGTGGCGAAGCTGGTGGCCAGGGGACAGATGCCACTCGATGCGTCAACCACGTGGGAACAAAGTGCAGATCCGGAATGTTTTCTTCATTCTTGCACGGCATTTATGGCCTCATGTCCAAAGTTAGGGCATCATCGAGCTCGTTCCGAGACATTTTAAGATACTGGACGACTGATCATTGGACGAAAAGTTGGCGCCGTGATAGACCAGAGGACCATGACTGCCAAAATATTTTCCTCATGTGGGTTCCTGGAGCGGTGTCTGTCTGCAGTATGGTCACTCCGGCTGGGTTGATGCAAAGATGATTCTCAAGGGAGGCTCAACCAGTGGGTCTTCTGGCAGATGCAAGATGCGGGTGGATCGCCACGTGGTAATGGAAGAGAAGACACAAGATAGCCAAGGAGGCACGCATCCCGATGAGGCCAAGGAAAAGCCAGACGATCGAGCACATGGACCAATCGGCACAATTAGAAGCAGGAGTCCACCGACCTTCGCGAGCCCAGATCTGGGATATCATGAGGACCTCCACCACCGAGGCGAGCTGCGGAGAGAGATTTTTCCTTCCCTCTACAGAAAGAGTCGTACGGGAATACAGCAGGCTGGTGCATTGTCCAGACAAGGAAGTCCCCGATCCCGACAAGCGTGAGTTGCCAATAAGACTCGAGTTGACGGGCGTTCAGCTGGGTATCCAGGAACATTGGGTGTGCGGAGAAGGATGGAAACGAGTTCGACTGGAGGACTCCATTCGGGTTCTCAAGGGCGTCATGAACTCGGTCTGAAAGTGGCGTGATTTCGGGGACGCGCGAGAAAGCAATCTGACGAGGAGAGCGAGAAGAGGAAGGTGAAGGTGAAGGTGAAGGTGAAGTGAGGGTGAAGAGTTGGGGATCGCTTGCATTTCGAGACCCCAGCCGATGACAAAGATGCGTGTCATTTGCAATTGAGATCCAGCCGCGATCCAGCCTCGTCTGGCCTCGTCCATGCAGACGCCGCAGAGACATCAGACCACCTCGTTAAGGGGGTGTCGACTTCGCGATCAGGCTGCGTGCACATGATGGGTTGCCATGTGGCCGCCATGTTCCTGAAAGCTGACGGTGCAGACCGTAGGCCAAAGCACCATCATTTTACGACCTCTAAGCGATGAGTGTCACACGCGGTCTCAGACATCTGCTTTGAGCTGCTCCGGGGATGCAGCCCACGTCCACCATCTTACACACAGTGTGACGGGACAGTGAACTCGATTTGGGTTCGTGGTTGAGGTGTTCAGGACTGCAAACCCACGCGACGAATCTGGCCCGGCAGGTGTGCAGACCCGATAGAGGCCGAGGATGAGAGGAGACGACAGGAAAGGTCATATTGCCGTGTGTCGTGTCACCGGCTGCGTAAGCGAGATCAATCCAGCACGCTCGTTGCATCTGGATCACGACCACGTGGGTTGCCGGACTAATACATTGCGTTCATGCTGAACCGAACAACCTCATCCTGTTATCCAGGTGGCAGCCACATGCACCATGAACAAATTCTCATTCCATCCAGCCCCTGCCTTCACCTTACATGAAGAAGCCGCTTGCGCTAATACACACGTGGGAAAATGCTTTTTACGGCCTTCCGCCAAAATTGTCCGAACCGTCCAGATTACACCCTCAGCAACTTCGCGGCATAGCTTGTGATGGTATCAATCTGAGGGAAACTCATTTCCTCCAACTTCTGCGCGTAGGGTGTCGGCACTTCGGCTCCTGTCACGCGCACTGGTGGTGCCTGTAGGTAGTCGAAGCCGTATTCGACTGCGAGGGCCAGAATCTCGGCACCGACGCCAAAAGCCGGGAAGCCTGACTCTACCGCCATGAGAGCACCAGTCTTCTTGACTGATTTTATGATGGCCTCCACATCCATGGGCTTGATTGAGCGCAGGTTGATGACCTCAGCCTCGACGCCATAGTTCTTCTTCAGTTGTTCCGCAGCCTCCAGTGACTGGCCCACGCAACGTGAGAGTGTGACGATGGTCAAGTCTTTGCCTGGTCGTTCGATCTTCGCTTTGCCGAAGGGGAGGACGAAGTCGCTCTTCTGTGCTTCTGCGCTCATCGGGAACGCCTGACCGTACAGGAGCCTACGCGGGTTAGCATGGTTCCTGCTCGACGCGTCGTCTTGACTTACTCATTCTCCAGGACAACGACAGGGTTTGGATCGCGGATAGCTGCCTTCAGCAGACCCTTCGCATCCTCTGCGCTCCAAGGTGCAACGACCTTTAGGCCAGGAATACTGCCATACCACGCCGAATAGTCTTGTGAGTGTTGAGCTGCCACACCGGCCGCGAAACCGTTGGGGCCTCGGAAAACGATCGGACAAGGCTGGATACCGCCAGACATGTAATGGGTCTTCGCGGCGGAGTTGATGATCTGATCAATTGCTTGCATGGCGAAGTTGAATGTCATAAACTCGCAGACAGGATGTAGACCGGCCAATGCTGCACCAACGGCAAGACCGCAGAAGCCCGATTCAGTGCTGATATCTCGTTAGCATCGAACACGAACTCAGGCGGAGAGAGCAGCAGATTCTCTCTCGCAGCCTCGCTGTCGCAGGGCTCGTGAGAAACTCACATTGGAGTATCAATGACTCGCTTGGGTCCGAATCGATCCAAGAGGCCCTTGGTGACCTTGTACGCGCCTGTTGAGAATCTTCAGCGTCGACGTTAACCTGCGAATGGAAACATCTTTACCATTGTATTGAGCCACTTCTTCACCTAGTATGAAAACCTTCTCGTCTTGCTCAAGCTCTTCGGCCAAAGCTTCGTTGAGCGCATCACGGACTGTTACTGTCTGCTGCGCCTCTGAGGCATAACCTCTGAACGATGCAGGTAGAGAAGATAAGGGCGCAAAATTACGGATCGACGGTCGTATCGAGGAAGAAAGTGCAGGTCGCTGGGAAACCAGCCGGGAGGCCGCCCTGAGGACTGATCTGGACGCGGACATCGTGAGAAGGGGAAAACGGAGCCGATGAGGTAGCTTGTAGCAACACGAATGTGCTTGGCCCCGGTCAGAAAGAGTGGCTTGAGTTGACCGTGAGGAGTAGGCCCAAAAAGTGATGTAGATTCGACTTGGAATGAATTATTTAGGTAGAATTGGGATGCGGACTTTCAACACGGACTCAGGAGCTTCGGCGATGCGTGGATTGGGGTCCCAACAACGGAAACTGGCATCGATCCACGAGAGTCTGTCAGCCACGCTTAATTAATCCGTCCTCCTTGGCAATTTTGCTTCTCTCCTCTACCTAGTACTTTAGCTCCCGCTCAGACTGGCACTGCGAATCACCCGCGTCATTCCTGAGATCTTCTGCTTGCTCTGTGATAACATGATTGCAGTACTCGGGGGTGTGCAAGGTTTTATTCAGCTTCTGAGGACTCATACTACTCGATGTGCCAATAGCCACTGCGAACCTCAATGCCGCTGGAGAGCAATGGCGCCGGGGACGACTGGCCATAGAACTGGGCTATCAGAGGTTGAGCTTTTGGCCGTCTTTCTGGTAGCACGACAGCTGCGTCTCGGGCAGGAAATATACCGTCGTTCGTGCAACAATTCTGCTAATCAGTCCACGTCTGTGTTGAGCGCGTGACCCTGAGGGTAACCATCACGGGTTCTCAAATATCAAAGTCGAGAGCCTGGCTATCTCGTAACGCTGTTATTCTTCTACCATGATCTCCTTGAATATGATATTGTCCATGATTGGCAAGGTCTGCAGCTGGTGCAGGATGATAATGGACTGTGTAGCCCGTCCCGCACCACAATGGATCGTTGCGCTCATACTGTTCAATGGCCGCTGTTGGAGTTTCAGGCTTGCAATACCCCCTACTTGAGGCGCAGTTCAGGATCGTGATTGTCAAGGAGCGAAGGTCTGAGCCCAGGTTCGACTACAATGTACTCGTACTTGCGTCAAACTTGATCGACTCTAGATTAGATCCATCATGGACTGTATCACTATGGTCAACTCCAGATAGAGAATGAGCTAACATGGCGCAAGACCACCTTATGTAAGCGATAGGGTGGAGCGAAGTCGCCAAAGTTGCCGCGGGAGACCAACGACCGTGACTCCAAGAGGCTGTCTGAGTGCGAGTGCTTCTCCACAAGCATCGCCATAGTCAACAGACATCCAGAATGCTTCCCTTGGTGAAGCTGAGCGTGGTCCTGCTGGCGGTGCCCGCGCTCTCCAAGCAACCATCAGCGCCCGAGCCATTTGCCGCTCCGTTGCGAGAATTGGAATTCGGACAGCTCAATTTCCTACACACAACAGACACACATGGATGGCACGCCGGTCACCTCCTAGAACCGTCTTTCGGGGCCGACTGGGGCGATTACGTTGACTTTGCTTCTCGATTAAGAGAGACGCTCGAGGCGCAGGGGAAAGACCTGCTGATCGTCGACACTGGCGATCGTGTCGAGGGCAATGGCCTGTACGACGCATCGGAGCCCAAGGGCCTCTTCACCTTTGACATCTTCCGGGAACAGCACATGGACATCATTTGCTCTGGGAACCATGAGCTGTACAAGCAGAATTCGTCCGAGAATGAATATCTGATCACAGTCCCCGCGTACACGGGCAGCTATCTGGCATCGAATCTCGACATTCGGGATCCGACCACGGGCGAGCTGGTGCCACTAGCTCCCAGGGCGAAAAAATTCGTCACCAAAAACCAAGGTATCCGCATCATGGCCTTCGGCTTTCTCTACAATTTTGATCGGAACGCCAACAACACCGTGGTCCAGCGCGTGGAGCACGCGATCCAGGAACCGTGGTTTCAGGCCGCGATCCGCGACCGCGAAGTCGACCTCTTTGTCGTGATCGGCCATTCCGCCGTGCGCTCGGCAGAATTCGACATGATCTTCAGGGCCATCCGCGCCGCGCAGCCGGATACGCCCATCCAATTCTTCGGCGGGCACTACCACATCCGGGACTACCGCAAGTTTGACAGCAAATCGTACGGACTGGCGAGTGGGCGCTTCATGGAGACGCTTGGGTTTCAGTCCATCAGCGGGCTGTCAACGAACACCAGCAGCCCAGCGCCGACTCCGACCTTCTTCAGGAGGTACATCGACAACAACCTCTACTCACTCTATCACCATTCGGGCCACAACGCATCGACGTTCCACTCCAACCGCGGCCGCAACATCACACAAGCGATATCGGAAGCGCGCGCGGCGCTGGACTTGGACCAGACCTTCGGCTGCGCGCCACGTGATCTGTGGATGGCCCGGGCACCCTACCCCAGCAAAGACAGCATCTTTTCCTGGTTAGAAGAGGATGTCTTTCCCGGCATCGTCAACGACACAACCCGCAGTGATCGACCGAGACTGGTCATTTCGAACACGGGAGCCATTCGCTTCGACATCTTCCAGGGCGCCTTCACCAAGGACTCCACGTACATCGTGTGCCCGTTCACGAGCGGATTCCACTACCTCAAGGACGTGCCGTACGAGAAGGCCAAGCATCTGATCAACATCCTCAACCGCGGAGGCGAGATCTTTGAGAACGTCGACCCGTCGTACGCCATGTGGAAACTGGGTCCTCCGGAACAGATGGGCGTGACAGAAGATGTGATTGCCACTCCGCCACACGACGTTCCTTCGTCTCAGATTGCCATGGCCAGCGACGTTCGCTTGACGCCGGGGTACACCACGCACGATGACGCAGGTGACGACGGCGACGATACGATCCACTCGCCGATTTCGTTCTATCGGGTGCCGAACTGTATCCAATCCACGATCAATCCGAGCCAGGTCGCTCTTGATGGTGAAGATGTTGTCGTGGACGTGGTCTTCAACGAGTTTATCCAGCCTTGGGTCTTGCTGGCCTTGAGATTCCTCGGTCTGGACTACGCGGATGAGGATGTCGACAAATATATGCCTGAAGAGAACCTGACGACCCTGATAGCGAAGTGGGTGAGTGAGAATTGGACGGACAACTGCAAGGATTGAGCTGGTCCGTCCAGGTGTACCTACTAGGGATGGAATATGTCACAGAATGTACTATACCGTATTGTGAAGCGCGCAGCACATGATAGATTATATGGTGCTAAGCGTCGCCTTCTTCCCTCTCACATTGTTTCCGCTGCGTCAAACATTGAAGAATATTCGGCCATGGAAAGGCACATCTGCCACCAATAACAGGATACTAATCACCGGGTTCCGCCCTTCAGCCGCCAGTCCCGCGCTGGGGCCTTGCACCAAGATCTATTAGCTAGAACTTTTCCTTCAGCCACCCGACAATGGCCTCTCCAAACTCCTTCGGCTTCTCCAAGTGCGCCCAATGGCCCGAATCAATGACCACCTTGGTGCAGTCGGGAATCAGACCCGCGTCGAGACTCAGCTGCAACATCTCCGGGCGGCAGACATAATCTCTCTGGCCACCGAAAAAGAGGAACGGCACGTTGATGGGGATGTTCTCCTTGGGGATATGCTTGTTCGCTTCGTCCTGCACGCCAGACACCATGGCGCGGTAGTAATTCAGCGGGGCGTCGAAGCCGGGGGGTTCCTTGAAGGAGGCGATCCACTTTTGCTTGCGCTCCTCGGTGGCGTAAGCCATGGTCGGCTGCCTCTTGTCGGCGAGAATGAAATCCCTCACGCCGTCTTTCGTGCACAGTGTGTCAAGCCAGGTTTCTGGCGCGCCGTGCGCGACGTCCCACATACTGTCGAGGTGCGAGCCCATGATTTCGGCGCCGTCCTCGGCGGTAAACAGCTGCCAGTACCAGTAGATGCCGTAGCCGAAGATACCCTCGGTGAGTTGCAGGACGCCATCGAGACTGAAAGGCTGGTCGGGCGTGGGGATGAGGTAGGAAACATTCATCAGGACGAGGCCCGAGCAGCGGTCTGCGTGGAAGTTGTAGAACCGCTGAGCGACACCGGCACCCTATGGTTGAAGGATGAACAGATTTCCCAATGAAATTTTGATACGTCTGACAAACTCACCCAGTCATGACCCACGGGAACAACCTTATCGAGACCTTCCTTGTCGACGATCTCCTTGGTGTCCTGCGCCATGAGCTGGAAATTGTACGACTCCGTGTCTGTCGGCTTCGATGTGCCATTGTAGCCTAGACAGTCGATGGCGATGATGCCGTAGCCGTTGGGCAGGAGATAGTCGCGGATGGCCTCCTCAAAAGTGTCAGGCGCATCTGGGAAGCCGTGGATCAGCAGAAGGGTCGGCTTATTGTCCTTTGCGGGGCAGGTGTAGTAGGTGTAAGTGAAGCCCCGGGACACGTCGAGCGTCTTCTTCTCGAGCTTGTCCATGATGGATGCTCTTATCTGTAATGAGCAGGCTCAGTTGATTCTAGCCGAGCACGAGGGATGAAGATTCTCTGGTCAGCGAGACGGCCGCCTGACGAGGCCAGAGTCTGTCTGGTCTTATAACTTGCCAGCCAGACGTGTGTGACGTCCGTGCATGCGGCCCAATCCGGCTGTCGATTGCTCGTGTTGGCAACAATTCAGCTCGGCTGCTGGGTCTCGCTGCAACGCGCGAAAGCATTAATATCAATGGCTACAGGTGATGGCCAATGGGGAAGTGCGTCGACCATGTCTAGCCTAATCCGCAATCGCGGGGGAGACCGCCGAGACAATTGTCCAATGCTGAGGGTTTGCGGCCAAGCACAATCCGAGGGGCCGTTGTCCAACACTGCGCGATGGCAGCTCTTGAGCGAAGCGTCTTCCGTCAGGCAACACAGCTGCTGCCTGCGGATTTGCATGCACTCATTACTAAGACTCAGAGCCAGCAATGAAATACCTAGGTACATCAATGAGATACCTAGGTACAACTCAGGGTTGTGGGCTTGTTTACAAATCCTTCTTAGCTACAAGCAACCACGGTGTCGCGCTCTCCGATTGGCCCATTGCCAAACTCACATGCACCTTTCTGGCTGTGAATTTTGCTGCCGCTCAATGACATCTGCGGATCGTAAACGCACGGATGAACATCTTGCGTGCTAGACACATGTTGCAAAGATGACTGGAGCAGGCCGATATGTGGGCTCGTTCACGGTGTGCAAGAGTACGAGATGCTTTCTCCTGAACCTCGAGATTCTGGCGTTTGCTAACGTCTCCGAACCAGGAACTGCAACCGTGCGGTGCACGATATATCCCTCGGCAGAGTCATAATGCTTCTCCCTCGCGGCATTCGCTCGCTTTTTGCAGACTAGAGAGCACCTATGTTCGACGGGTCGGACGCATATGTGCCACATTCTCCCAACGCAGACAGTCTACCGTCCGTCCTTTCCATGATGGGGCCAGAGCTGCCCAAGGAGCCTTGTCTCCATCCGTGGCTCCCTCCGAGGACAATATCGATGAAGCAAATACCACTGATGTAGCTGCTGCCGAGGGCGAGCAGGAGAAGCACAGCGCGGTGCAAGGAAGGAAGGCTAGGAAACGCAAGCCACGCGCCTTCCAAATTGAGATTCCCAAAGTCAATATCCAGTCCGCCATCGAGACGATGCAATTGGCACGTTCAAATGGCCTTACAACGGAAGAAGTGATCCTTGGGTCTTCCCCAGAGCCCGCGAAATCGCCGGGGGATCTTGTTTCAGTCAGGGAGAACGAGAGCTTGGCCGCTCGTATGAAGGACGCTCATGAGCAGGCTAGACAAGGAGCCGAGATGAAGGCCACCCTGCGCCGGAGACAGAAGCTGCCTTTGATGGCTGAGGATACTCAAAAGGCGCTCTTGAAGCTGGTCGACGACAATGACGTGGCTATCATCTTGGCCAAAACTGGCTCCGGAAAGACCACTCAGGTCCCTCAAATCCTGCTCGACGACATGATAATGTCCGGTCGAGGTCCGCATGCAAACGTCTTGTGCACTCAGCCTCGGAGGATGGCAGCGACCTCTATTGCGCAGAGAGTGGCCCACGAGCGCCTTGATTCCCTTGGTAGCACGGTCGGCTATCACATTCGCAACGAGAATTGGTCACCCAGGTCTTGCGGCTCTATCACGTATTGCACCACCGGCATTCTCTTGAACAGACTGATTGCCGATCCAGAGCGTACCCTATCGGGGTACTCCCACATTATCGTTGATGAGGTGCATGAGCGTGACATACAGATTGACCTTGTCCTGTCTCTTCTTCGCAACGCAGTCCGTGCCAGCAAGGCGGCAGGGCGACCGCACCCTAAGATCATCCTCATGTCTGCTACCATCGACCCGTCGATCTTCCTAGGTTATTTCACGCAACAAACTGATGACCACCCGACCCTGACCGCTGACTACGTGGATGTGGAAGGGAGACACACGCACATTGAGAACCACTATCTTCCGGAAATCCTGCTGGATATGTCGCAGGAGGGTGGGTTACAGGAGCCAATGTATCACTACATCCAGGGCAGCCACCCCTTATCCAGTCGACGTTTCGTTGAGCATGAGATGCAATTTGCAGCGAGACAAGCAAAACATGCGTCTGGTTGTGATGATGGCGGTACAAGGGACAGCCAACAGCCAGCGACTTCGATCGAGGACGACCCGTCCGCGGGGCCCACAGGCCCCTTGTATGTCGGTCTGGCAGCGTCGGTGATTGCTCATATTGCGCTCACCAAACCGGAGGGCGACATCCTCGCATTCTTTCCTGGAGCTACGGACATGGAAAATACGGAGCAGCTGCTGCGCAGCGGCCGATTCGTCCACGCTGGACTTGATGTCCAGAATCCGGACAAGATCAGACTCTTCAAGCTTCACTCCCTGCGCAGAGAAACCAACAACCAAGTCTTCGACCCAGTCCCTCAGGGCTGTCGAAGAATTATCCTTGCAACGAACATCGCCGAAACGTCGATCACACTCCCAGAGGTGGTTTACGTCGTTGATACCGGCAAGGAGCGTAATAGCCTTTTCGACCCCTCCACACTTGCAAGAAGCCTGCCATATGTCTGGATCAGCAAGACAAGTTCAATTCAACGACGAGGACGGGCTGGACGGGTACGCAACGGCCACTACTATGCCCTCTTCACCAAGGAGCGGCATGACTCATTCCGACCGATGAACCGCCCTGAGATTGGCGAGTCTAATCTTGCGGACGTAGCCCTGCAGTTCAAGGCTTTCTCACAGCACGCCGATGTCGAAGACGTCCTCCTTGACACTCTGGACCCACCCAGCCGTCCTGCTGTTGACAACGCGGTCAAGCAGCTGCAAAGTTTAGGCGCTTTGACCGACACCGGCGACATCACCAGCCTGGGCAGACTATCGTGGCAACTTGGAGTACATCCAGCCTTGGGAAAGGCAATCCTTCTTGGATCCCTGTTTGGCTGCCTGGAACCCATGCTGATCATTGCTTGTCACGACTCTGGAAGCCCGCTCATATCAAATCTCGAACTGAGCATGGAGAAAGTACGAGAGGTAAAGCAGCAATACCTACCCGAATACGAAACAGACTTTGCTTGCATTATCGAAGCCTTCAGAGAATATCACGCAGCCAACACGGCTGGCGACGCCAACCTCATGCAAGAGCTACGAGAGACCAAGCACGTCCGACACCGCGCTTATCTTGACATGATGGCCACGTGCGACGGTCTCCATCATGTCCTTGCACGTCTGGGCTTCGTCCCGACACCACAGGCCGGCAAGACCCTGTTTGAAATGCTTCCCTCGGCTCTCAATGCCCACCACCGAAACATGGTGCTCGTCAAGGCACTGCTTATCAACACCGTAAGTGCCGAGCTGGCTGCCTGGCCAGGCAGACAAGGCGTCCAACTCTGTAGCTGGACAGTCGACAGCCCCGTGCTCAAGGGCTTGACCTCCAAATTCGGGGTCAACGAAGCAAAGACAAATCTGCAGCGGCGTCGGAAAAAGTACCACCGTACCCCCGGTCGCTTGATGGCATACACATACAAGCGAGAAGCTCCCGACGGGTCCGGCGACGTAGTTTTCCTAGAACAGGCCTCGATGGTAACGCCCCTGATGGCGATCCTTTTCTGCCAGACCCTGGCCCTGCGGGACGAACGAACTCTACGACTCAACCGGTGGCTGTTACTTCAACTTTCGGCAGCTGCAGACGTTCCACCCGCGATTGCTGAGAAAGTTGCGCCCATCCTGCTGGAATTGAGGAAGACGATCGACCGCCTCATCAGCCTTGCGTGGCTGGACCTGGAAATGCTCAATCGAGCAGCATCTCGGGACGACTTTTCTGATGGTTCTCCACGACCACAACCACAAGATGAAAAACAACAACGACGCCTGAGCCCGAAATTGCGAAAAGTCATGGTCGATGCGGTCGTCGAAATGCTCAACGCAGACGCAGCATACTGGTCCGAGTTCAAGGCCAGGCGTCGGGAGGAGATCGATCGCGAACTCGAGCGGCTAGAGAATGAGAAGAGACAGGCTGCCGCTCTGCTTGAGGACGAGGAGGTAGACATCGACCAGATCGACGAAGATGATGAGAGATCCGACGCGGAGGGCGAATGGGATGACAGACCTAACGCGCAGGGCGAATCTGTTGATCAAGCGGCGTGCAGCAGTGTCTGAGAAGAGCCTGGACGACCGCTCTCTGAAAGTATGAAATTTACGCTGGTTCAGGAAAGAAGTGCCAGACCAATGGACCATACACGGAGCATCCTCGACTCGACTCGCTACGCTTCCGCTTCGGCTTCGGCTTGTGTACAGTATTTTGTATCTTTATAAAATAGATATAGACGGGACATTGATGTATATCAGGGATCGGCGATCAGTGCTCAAAGCTCAGTGCTCAGTGTATCAAAAGGAGTCGAGTCCCGCTCCTATCCCACTGCAACTTTGCGGGTCGTAGTGTACGTTGTGGCAAGTTGCTTCGGAGGACTGCCTTATCTATGCCCGGCTGCATTGCATTGCCTGCCACTCCTGCTTGCATCAATCACTCACCGCCAACAGCGTACTGCGCACCACGTACTGTACGGGGTACTCGGTCGTCTCCTTGGTTGATGGTCAAGCGACTGCAATGGTGCCACGCGCCCACCTTCATGCTCTGTACATATTCACGCACGTTCCTCTGTACTGCATGACAATGTCGTACGCACTCCTGCTCCCGCTCCCGCTCCTACTCCTACGCCTACCGCTGCATCTCATCTCACCTCATCTCAATTCAAATGTTCGTCCCAAATCATGGCCCACGTCCTAACCCCCTCGCCCCCCTGCTGCGGCCAGCCCTGAGCATTGACGCGACCCTTGCCGATCACGACCTCCTCGCAGACTCGGAACCCCAGCTTCTCATACTCGTCCTTGGCACTCTCCGCGGCCGTCTCCAACCACACGGGCACGCCCTCCTGCTTGGCCTTGCCCAAAAAGTAATCCATACAAGCCTTGAACGCGGCCATGGACGTCTCGGCGGGGGCGTCGGGATCCCGCGCAATCATGGCGAGGTGGTAAAACGGCCGCGTCTCGACGTCGACGTCCTTGTTGAAGTCGGCCGGGTAAGGATCCTCGCTCGGGGCGCCGCTCGACTGCGACGGCGCGGCCGGCTGGTCGTAGCTGTGTTCCCCGCTGTCCGGGATGCTGAGGTATTTGGCCTTGAGCCTTCTCGCCGCGGAGCGCCACTCCTGCAGGATGGGCCCCGGGTTGCGCCGCGCCTGCGAGGGCGGGATGCCGCAAAAGTCGGGCGGCTCGAACAGCGCGGCGGCGGCGAAGTTGCCGCCCTCGAAGAGCACGACGTTGGATTTGGCCGCCGCGGTGATGCCCAGCGTGAAGTGCTTGGATAGGCGGTCCGGGGTGATCACTTGGGAACGGTCGGCCGACGGGTCCGTGCCGTCGATCTCGGTGATGAAGGCCGTCGTGAGCGGGGTGGTTAGGTAGGCGCACGAGAGGAGCGAGATGAAGCTGTCGAGCCATTTCTGGTCGGGCGACGAGGTCGTGCGGACGTCTATAGACATGATGGAGAGTGTGCAAGAGGACTTTTGGGGGCTGTCTGTGTTCTATCTGGATGTTCCTCCCTGCCTCGCTCAGGCGTGATGCTGCAAGTACAGTATCTCAGTATGTATGGGAGTGGCCGTACGGTGAGGCTGAGTGAGGACGAGACGACAGGGAGAGCTGGTATCAGAGTTGAATAGTTGTCTAATGGTGCGTCACCTTTGTGCTTCACGTTCTGTGCGCTGCGTAGAGAAGAGACACCGACCAGATCGAAGGAGGGACGCCGTGCTTATGAGCTGAACATCGACGTGTGTAGAAGCTGGCACCGGCAGGCGCTAGGTGCGTCATTGGCCCACGGCATCATCTCGCCTGGTGCCCGTTGGATGTGTGGGTGAGTGTCCCTGTTGATCTCTGTCTTGGGAAGGGTCCGGACGCTACCTCGTAGCTTGTACGAGTAGCTCGTGCTGCCTGCGCTGTACGAGCAATATGTACGGAGTAAAGGTGAGCCAGAGGATCGAAACCAGCCCCCAAGTGCGGGGTGATGGGGGGACAGAGGGGGCGCCACTGGTGGTCCCTCGACAGCTCCGACACCCGAGGGAGCCAATCGATAGGCGGCCCGGCGCCAGCTCTGGGGATCCGCCTAATTAGTTACCACTACGAGTAATTAGTTACCAATTACTGTACTCCGTACTCTGTGCTCTTTAGATACCTTGGACAAGGCCTCCGGAGTTTCATACGTAGAGTCACGAGTACTCGCCCGAGTCCATCATCTGTGTCCAAGACGAATGTCAATGGCGGCCGAGCATCACCGCAAGACTGTCCTCATCACAGGATGTTCTCCCGGTGGCATCGGCCACGCGCTGGCTCTCGCCTTCCACGCCCGAGGCCTGCGAGTCTTTGCAACGGCTCGCACGACAAAACAAATCAGCGACCTCTCGCTTCAGGGAATCGAGACCCTGCCGCTGGTCGTGGATGACGACGAATCCATCCTCTCGTGTTTCCGAGACGTCGAACAACTAACCCAAGGTCGGGGCCTCGACTACCTTGGTAGGTACCTATTATACTCTCTCCCTTCTACTGGGGGTGCTGGCTGATGATGAGGCTCGTCAACACAACAAGTCAACAACGCCGGCGTCTCGTATATAATGCCCGCGTTAGACGTCAACCTGGACGAGGCCAGACGGATCTTCAACGTCAACGTCTTTGCCGTCATGCGCCTATGCCAGGTCTTCGCACCCTTGCTCATGACGGCTCACGGCACGATCGTGATGATCGGGAGCTTGGCCGGAGTCATACCCTACGTGTTCGGCTCCGTATACAACAGTTCAAAGGCAGCGTTGCATGCATACGCCAATACGTTGCGCGTGGAGCTGGCCCCCTTTGGTGTCAAAGTCATCACCGTCCTCGCCGGGGGAGTCAAGTCCAATATCAACTCCCATGTCAAGCGCGTCTTGCCGGAAGATAGCGCGTACAGCACGCTCGAGGACAGCTTCGTCCGACGTCAAGTCCACTCGCAGGAAAGTGCGATGCCGAATGACGCGTTTGCCGAGAGCGTGGTCAACCAGGTCCTCCCGGCTAGTGGGTCCTGGCGGCCTTGGAGGTGGCTGTGGAGAGATGCCCGTCGGAGATGGATCTGGGAAGGCAGCAAGAGCTGGCTGGTGTATTTTCTTGCTGGTGGATATACGTGGACCGGTTTCTTCGACTGGTGGATGACTCGTGCGTTTCAACTGTCGAGGCTGAAGAAGGGGAAGACAGTTTGAGAGTGAGGCACGATATCGCGTCATACTAGCGACCTTCTGAGGGCACGAGTTACCGGCGCTGTCACGGGCCTCAGGCGGCAGCCGTGGACACGACGCTGGAAATTTGAGGGCATGAGCAGAAAACGACAAGTCTGGATGTTTGTGGGATCCGTTGCAGCGATATCTCTGCACACGCTACTCCGTACGACCTACAGGATCGACAACAAGCGTCAAGGACGGTGAGTCAGCCCAGCGCGCACCATTCATGCGTTTTATTCACCAACCGAGTATCGGCTCATAATGATACGGTGGCAGCCGCAAGAACATGCGAGTAGAAAGGCCTATCGAGACAGCAAAAGCAATCAAGAGAATGAGACGGAAATAAGACTTTTGGAGACGCCTATCACCGAAGCCGTCACTAAAGAATCACCAAGTTCTGCGACGTCCTACCACGCCCACATCAACTTATGTGCGAGTACCCTCTCTCCAAGCCTCTCATATAAGAAGGCATTAATCCAACTATCGTTCGTGCGGCTCATCCTGCCAAATACCGCACCGCCCTTCCACGCAACGACCTGCGGATCCAACTCCCTAGGTGGCCGTCCAATCAGGATGTCCTTGCTATATCCGGGTAGCATACCCTTGAGGGACTCCTCAAGATGGCCGGCAAGCCCCGGAATGATGCTTGTTCCGCCCGTAAGCATGATCCCAGAGAGAAGGTCGGACGTTTTCTGGCTGGAGCCACGTGCAGCGTGTGTTATACTCGTCACGATTGCAGCGGGAAGGGGGTAGACGGGTAATATGTCGTCCCGGCGTTCAAGTGGGAGGACTTCCTCCTCCTCTGGTTTGGGGAGAGGTGGTGCTGTGTTCTGTTGACCGATGGTGCCCGGAGCCGCGCCGTCCACCCCATCCATGATCGTGTCGTCGGGCGCCGGTGTGCCGTTGTCGCCTATATTGTTGGGCGCACGGGTCGGGGAGCTCGCGGCCGACGGTTGTGGTGTGGCGTCCATTTCTTTGATGTTGCTGAAGGAGGGCCGGCGGGACTCTGGGTTGAAAGATTCTTGGTTGGTGTTGATCCCGTTGGTCAGGAGGCCGTTAGCATGGCCGTTCATCTTGGGTCCGGATTTGCTGGTGGAATTCAAGACTTCCTCAGGTGCGATGGAAGTGAGGATCTCTGCTTGGGCGGAAGACGTCGGGTCATTGGGTCTCCCGTCATAGATATCATAGGATCGGTCGATGAGTTTATGGCGGCCGGCAAGTTTGCCATTGTCGTCAAGGACTTGGGGTCTGAACAGGCCCATGGGCGCAAGGATGACCTCGTCGTAAATTTTGAACGTGTACTTTCTCGTGTCTTGGCCGGGCGCACGGAGGTGGAAGTCGTAGAGTTGTACGGAAATGTCGGCTTCGGTCATGGTGCAGTACTTTTGCTTCAACTCTTCGGCGAGCTGAAAGTCGTATCGGCGGTTGAGGTTGAGCTCCGAGTACGGGAAGTGGTTGTAGATTATCATCTTGACAAACATGTCGGTGATGTCTCGTCCCCCATACTTCAGATTGACACGCGAGTTGTCAATGATCATGCCATCCTCCACACAAGAAATCGCCGTTTTCTGCGCTCCGATGTCCACGATGCAGCATGTCGTGAAGCCGGCACCAAACGAAGACGCCAAGCTCTCCTGGATGAAGCACACCCGGCCGAAACCGAATTCCGTGATGGCCATGTCAAGTAGACTGGTCACGTACGTGCGCTCGTAGTAGTCGGGTATAACGATCACAATGCTATACTGAGCCCAATCGTCCCTAGTGCGCAATTCCAACTCGAGTTGTGATTTGATTGCCTCCTCGAGGATGATCCGAATATCGTCGTACAGGAAGCGCTTCGAGTCGTAGTCTTGCTCGTTCATCCAACCATGCCTGATCGGCCAGTACAGCTTGTACCGGGGAGTGGACTTGTCAGGTATTCGCAAGGCGGCCTTGCCTGTGATGTACGCCGGTGCACCGCTCGTATCCGTCCACTCAATGCGCATGGTGTCGTTATGCTCAGTGATGGTGTCATATGTGTTTCTTCGATTGTAGCTGGTCACCATGTCCCTTGACTGTGGCAACACTTTTCTCTTGTTCATCCGCATTCTGACCTTTAGGTCCTGTGACATGCCTGAAAACTTCTTTGCGAAGTCCTCCCCGAAACGCTTCTCTGGCTCGGGAGGTGGGAGTCCGTTATCTAATTTTGCTCTCTTCGGTGCCGGCTCTCCATCGTTTTCCTCGCTCTCGGACTTCTCTGATCGTCGTGCGATGACCATTGGAACTGTCCTTGGTAACGCGTCATTGGCAAGTCCAACTCGTAGGTTTTGGGAGCCGATGTGTATCACAATGGTCTTTGCGCCGCTCGACGCTTCGTCTTCAGCCCCCTCTTCGCCCTCATCCATGTCGACATCCCCTTCAGGTTCCACTAGTTGCCCTTGTGCGAGGGCCCGATCCCTGTCTCGAGCTTGCTTGATCATCCGGTTGCGGTCTTCCTCTCGCTGTGACCGGTACGCGAGGATCTGTTCATCTCGTTTGAGGTAGTCGGTGTAGTAGTTCTTCTGGTTGATGGCTTGAATGATCGGCCACGAGGTCATCTCCATGTTATTATCAGTTCGCTCGAGGCCCTCCTCCCGCAGGAGTGCCTTTCCGCTCTTTTTGCCCACCATCTTCGCGGCGGTCTCTGCAGATTGCGGTTGGCCTCACGACGAAGGGGGGAGGTACGGCGTTGTCGGCGACTGCGAGTTCGGATTCTTGTCTAATTAGGGCATATCGTGCAAGGTAGATGCGGAGGAGGCAACGTGCTTTCTTGTCGCAAAGATAGGTATCTCGCCGGGTCAGAAACTCGTCTCGATTGCGCGTCTGTTAAAGAGCAGCGAATTCAGACTCCGCAACATGTGGCGTACCACCGAAAGTTTGGGGAAACAATGCGAGATCCGGCTGTGGCTCGTTGCTGCCAAGTGGCTTGACGAGGCTTTCCGCGTCGACAATGTCAACGTCAAACGTTTTACCATGACTTTTGTTTATTTCCGGTCTTCGATTCGAGCGACGGAAATCTGATTGGAACCGTGTTACTTGATTACTCTGACTGTATAGAGATACGGAGGTTCGCTGGACGTCGAAGATATGATTTTGTCGTGACCGCCTCGTCCCCATTCATCCTGCCGAAATAGCGCGAACGACATTGCAGAATGGGTGGCTCGATATCCAAATTGTTGGGCAACGTCATCTGGGGCAAGAAGGACATACGGATCTTGATCCTGGGACTTGTGCGTCGCCAGGTGCAGTAAATGTGGCGCCTCCAAGGCCTGACAGTACATTAGGACAACGCTGGCAAGACCACCCTTCTGTACCGACTCAAGGTAGGCCATGTGTGGCAGCATTCGGTCTCTATATCTAACACTCATGTCTAGATTGGTGAAGTGGTCACTACAATACCAACGATTGGATTCAACGTCGAGTACGTCCACGGATGCTTATTGCTGCGACCTGCGGGACTGACAGCTTCACCAGATCCGTGCAGTATGGCAATCTGAATTTTGACGTCTGGGACTTGGGCGGACAGACCTCAATAAGACCATATTGGAGGTCATACTACGCCAACACAGCAGCGGTTGTGTTCGTCATCGACTCTACCGATATCGAACGATTGGAGATAGCGGCGGATGAATTGAGGTCGATGCTGAACGAAGACGAGCTCAAGGATGCCGCCCTCCTGGTGTTCGCTAACAAGCAAGACCAGGTACGCAACAGTCCAAGGCCGACATTCTCTGGATAGACGCTGACCAACGCCACAGCCGGGCGCGCAGGGTGCTGGAGAGATCTCCGAAGCCCTGAAACTGGGCGAGTTGAGAGACCGAAACTGGAGCATCGTTGCCTGTTCGGTGATCGATGGCAGAGGCATCAATGAGGGAATGGATTGGCTTTCGTAAGTTTGATTGACGTGTTGCAGGTCGCCATCTTGCTCATCATCCGTAGGCAAACGGTCCAGTCCGAGTCATAATGGATTCTATGATATACCCTGCATCAGTAACGGCGCGTTCGGTAGCATCATATACTCATGCTCGTGCATTGCCTGCGCCTTCATGTCACCGCAATCAACGAGATCATGCGGAACTCGCTCGCTTCCTTCTGCGCAATTATACACGTCAAAATCCGGGTAGAGGAAAAAAAGTGCTACACGATTGAGCACTGTGGCTTTCAGAGGAATCGCCCTGAGTTTGCTCTACCCGAAAGTCCCTGTGCTGTAGTTATTGTGGTCTGATAGTCAACGTAGACTGAATCCGCGACGACCTTCTTGAGGCAGCACCGACGAGTCTTTTACGTTCCGCAAGTCGGGCCGTCGCCCAGCAAATGGTGTCCTGGTGAAACAGTCATGAGCAATTCTTGTTGCCTCTCTCCTCGTACTCGTACGAGTCGATGCGGAGTAAAATGCGGAGTACGGAGTACCACAGTCAACCATAGTACATCGCAGGTCGTGCTGGTATTTGGTATTTGGTATTCCGTTGACAGATCTTCGCCCGTTTTGTTTCGTCTCATCGTGCCGTTTCACGCAAAGCCAATTTACTCTTGACTTTGGGCCATAAGCGCGGCATCGGGGTCGCTTTCTTCTTGCTCTTCATGTCAGCCGCTTGAATCTTACCCATCGCCTCTGTCACGCTGGCTCGCTCAAAGGGTCTCTTCCTTCTCCTCGCCTCCGCCGCCCTCTTTGTCCTCGTGACCTTCATCACTCTGGCTCCCTTTCGTGCTCCTCCTCGCCTGGGCGCAATCTTGAACCAGGTCCGACCATTCAAGCCAACGGCGTCCTCTACGAGCTCCTTCAGACCCGTCACCACATCCAGTATGTCCGCGTCGAAGTTCAAGAAACCGCCTCAGGCACCGCCTAGCTTCACGGCCACTCCTGAGTCGTTGATGAAGGATGCCAAAGACATGCTGGCTGAGTCGAAGAAGGTTACAGACGACATCGTGGCGAAACTGTCCCAGAAAGATGCGACCTTTCAGAA